GGAATCCGCAGCTGGTACGAGCCCGCAGATTGGTCGGTCAGAGCGAGGCTGCACTCAAGCCCTGCCCAGAATTATAATATGGCCACGCCCTTCTACGGATTACCCGTACCCTTTCCTGTCCGCGGGCTCCGTGCTTAATTCTTGTTTCACCGGTCTCGTGAGTTACAGCTACTCCCCTGCTAGCCCGCCCCTGCTGCGTCTTTATCCTCTCCAGGCCCCGCCGCTAGCCCTGCCCCCTCTTCTTCATTAGTCTCCGGACCTGCCCCCTCCTCAGGCCGCACACGGCTCCTCCTCTTGCCCGCCCGTCACGCCCATGGCCCCGCCCCTGAAGCACGGCCCCGCCTCTGGCCCCGCCCCTCCTCCCTATGGCCTCGCCCCTCCTGTGCCCGTCCCTTTCCGTATCGGCCCGCAGGAGGCGGTGCACCTGGGGCAATCCGCTCCTTTGCGGCCTCTGGCCGCAAACTCAAGTCACTTGCCTGCCTCCGCTCTAAAAGGGTAGATGTTTGGGACCTTGTCTTCACCTGAGCTAGGCGCAGATTCAGGAATAAACACATTCATCCCAAACTCAGCTCCGGGTGCTGGGACATGGCTAATAGGTCCACACAGACACCATCATGAGGGAAGGGTCTTCCCTTTAATTTTACAGTCTTTGCCCTTTATGAACATGGGTTAAAAAGCAATGAAAATGCAACTTCCCTGTCTGTTCCATTCAGATCCATTGGGACAGGACCCGGAATCATAGCTTCGCAAACGTTTTATCGTTGCAGTTGTGAAAATTGAACCCTAGTCCTCAAAAATGCTAAGCACACCCTCTTCCACTGAGCTACACCCCAGAACCTAATGCCCTCAAGCCTTCTGTACAGAGAACCTAGGTGAGCCAGCCACACTCAAACCCCTGAAAGTCTCCATGTTAATATGGCCCTGCAGGGGAGTTTTGAGTCAGGAGTCTGGTGAGAACAGCTGAACTATAATAAGCCCTATAAACTGGGTGACTCCGTCAGGGTGGCAGCAGACCAGGGTAGCCCACAGGGAGAGGTTAGTCTACAACTGGTAAGGGCAAGAGGGGCTGGATCCGAGTTTGAAACCCCTCACCAGGAGGTCCAGATGTGAGGTGTAATCTATCTCAGCATTTCAGAGGTGGAAGCAGAGGGTCTCAGTGGGGGCCAGCCTGAGCCATGCAGCATTTACTATCTCAAAAATAAAGAAACCCAAGGGTGGGGGTGTACCTCTGTGATGGAACAGTTACCTCCCACATACACGCAGGGTCCTGCTGCAGTGGTATGAATGAGAATGGGCCCCCCTAGGCTCATAGACTTGAATCCTTAGTCCCCCCCAACTTCTGTACCCATCCCCACACCCCCCATTTGGTGGAACTGTTTGGAAAGGATTAGGAGGTGTGGCTTTGTTGGAGGAGGTGTGATACTAGGTGTGGACTTTAAGGTTTCAAAAGCCCCACCATGCCTAGCGTGCTCTCTCTGCCCTGTGCTTGTGGATGAGGATGGAAGCTCTCTGCTGCTGCCCCAGCGCCTTGCCTGCCCACTTGCTGCCATGCTCTCCTCTGTGATGGCCACAGACTCTAACCCTCATATGAACCCCACATTAAATACTTGCTTTTATAATTTGAGTTGTTCATGGTGTCTTATCACAGCAGTAGAAAACGAAGACATCTGGATTCCATCCCAGCAAAACGCACACAGACCCGCAGCAGAAAGGAGGTGCAGCCTGGGTTTCTGTAGCCAGGCAGAAAATTTGCTCCATCTCAGCTGGGGCCCCTGACTGGGCTGTACCCTGCTCCCTGCAGGGACCCTAGAAAGCTGTAATAAAGCCATGCTTAAGCTCCACCCACCCCCATGGCCTGGAAGGCTGCCTGCTGCTTCTCTGTGTTGAAAGTTGTCGCTTGCAAACCCTCTGTCCCCTTCATGAGGTTATGAATTCACACGAATATTCTCAGAAGAAATAAAGGTCACTGGATGCTGAGTGGCTACTCGGAGCCTCGGTTCCCGCATCTTCTTTTGAGGATGGAAGAAGCTTGGGGTGCATTCACGGGAGAAGCCATCAGCCACCTGGACCATGCCAAAACAGAAGCTGCCTCCCGCTCCTCCAGAGTCTGTGTGCCAGCTTGTCTGGGTTTTGATTGACAGAGGAGTGTTTTCTTGACTGGCAAATATTTGTGTTCCCAAGTTGGCTGCGCTTCGCTTCCTGCTTTGCACAGTCTCTAAAAGAGCAAAGGCAAAGAAAGTACTGTAGAGAGTGGGGCCGGGAGATGGAGAGGAGGGTCGGTCGGAGAGCAGGCAGTGGGGCTGGGAGATGGAGAGGAGGACCTGTCCGAGAGCAGTCAGTGGGGCCGGGAGATGGAGAGGAGGGCTGGTCCAAGAGCGGGCAGTGGGGCTGGGAGATGGAGAGGAGGGCCGGTCCGAGAGCAGGCAGTGGGGCCGGGAGTTGGAGCGGAGGGCCGGCCCGAGAGCAGTCAGTGGAGCCGGGAGATGGAGAGGAGGGCCGGTCCGAGAGCAGTCAGTGGGGCCGGGAGATGGAGAGGAGGACCGGTCCGAGAGCAGTCAGTGGGGCCGGGAGATGGAGCGGAGGGCCGGCCCGAGAGCAGGCAGTGGGGCCGGGAGATGGAACGGAGGGCCGGCCCGAGAGCAGTCAGTGGGGCCGGGAGATGGAGAGGAGGGCCGGTCGGAGAGCAGGCAGTGGGGCCGGGAGATGGAGAGCAGGCAGTGGGGCCGGGAGATGGAGAGGAGGGCCGGTCCGAGAGCAGTCAATGGGGCCGGGAGATGGAGAGGAGGGCCGGTCGGAGAGCAGACAGGTAGGATGTCTTTTCCTGTAAGACGGAGGCAGTGTCACTGAGTGGCCACCGGGCTTCTGGTGGGGCATGGATGAGACTGCATGCACTTTATGCACTACACAGTGGTGGTGCCAGGATGCTTCACCTGTGTCTCTCTGTCGCAGTGAGTTTCATAAGACCCAAAATGCAGGTGCGACCAACTTATGGCAGCAGATACACAGAGGGAGACAGAGTGGCTAACCCATGACGAGGATAATACTCAACCCAAAGCAGCCACTACACATCGGGGCACAGATAAACCCCCAAACACGATGCTGGTTCAGCACATGCCTGCAATCCCAGCACACCGGAGGCTGAGGCAGGAGGACTGTGAACTGAAAGCCATTCTAGGCTACATAGCTAGTCCCAGACCAGCCTGAGTTATGTAGTAAGACCCTGTATCAAAAACAAACAAATAAACAATAAGCCTGGCACAGTGGTACACATCTTTGGTAATCCCAGTGCTGGGGAGACAGAGGCAAGCAGACCTCTCTGGGTTCAAGGCCAGCCTCGTCTACATATAAAGTTCCAGGCCAGCCAGGGATACATCATGAGATATGCAAAGGCAATCAGAGAGGGCCTGGAGAGCCGACTCAGCGGTTCAGAGCACTGGCTGCTCTTCCAGAGAACCTGGGTCCAATTCCCGGCATCCACATGGCAGCTCACAACTGCCTGTAACTCCAGTTTCAGGGGATCCAACACCTTTACCCAGACATACACACAGGCAAAACATGAATGCACATAAAAAAATAAATTATTAAAAAAACAACAATAAAAAAAAACAAATACCAAAATCAGGGGCTGGAGAGATAGCTCAGCGGTTAAGAGCACTTATTTATTTATTTACTTATTTATTTATTTATTTGGTTTCTTGAGACAAGGTTTCTCTGTGTAGGTTTGGAGCCTGTCCTGGAACTCGCTCTGTAGACCAGGCTGGCCTTGAACTCAGGGAGATCCTCTTGCCTCTGTCTCCCTAGTGCTGGGATTAAAGGTGTGCACCACCACGGCCCAGCAAGAGCACTTGTTTTTGTAGATGACCATGGTTTGATTTCTAGCACTCAAATGGCCCACAACTGTTTCTAACTCCAGTTCCAGGGAACCAGATGGCCCCTCTTCTGACCTCTGTGGGAACCAGGCTGGCGAGTGGTACATAGACATAACATATGCAGGAAAAATATCCACAAAAACACAAATTAATTTTAAAAAATAAAACAAACAAACCAAAAAACCTCCATGGTGTCTCCATAATGGCTCCGTTGATAACGCGTTTGCTATACAATCATGAGGACCAGGTATGGTGGTGCTCATCTTTAATCCAGGCACTTGGGAAGCAGAGGCAGGCAGATTTCTGTGAGTTAAGGCCAGCCTGGTCTGCATAGTGAGTTCCAGGACAGCCAGGACTACATAGTAAGACACTGTCTCAAAACAACAACAACAGCAGCAGCCAGGTGTGGCACACACTGGAAATCACAGCTCTGGGAAGGCAGAGGTAGGCAGATCCCTGTTTCTCACTAGACTGGCATCCTAGATGACTTGAGGCAAGCTCCAGGCTAATGAGAGACCCTCTCTCAAAAGCAAACAAGGTGGGCAGCATTTGAGAAGTGGCACCGGGTTGTTCTTTGGTCTCCACATGTGTGCACATGTTTACATGCACCTGCACGCATACAAACATAGCTACACACAAAAACAAGCAACATACACAAAACCTAAAACCTGAGATGTTGAGTAGGAAAGAAAAAATCCACACACAGGACTGGAGAGACGGTTCAGCGGTTATGTTCTTCCCGAGGACCTGGGTTTGATTCCAGCACCCACATGGTGATTGACAGCCATCTGTAACTACAGTTCTGGAGGAACCAAAGCCCTTTTCCGGCCTCCATGGGCACCGGGCACACATGTGGTACACTGGCATATGGGCAGGCAAAACGCTTACACAGAAGATAAAATGATAAAAAAGCAGCAGCAACCAGACACAGAAGTCTGTGCAGTATGATTTCCTTCAACGACGTGTCCACAACAGGCAGGTCCCTAGCAACAGAAAGATTCATAGTTGTCAGGAGTGAGGAAGGGAAAATAAAACTGTTTGTGGGGTTCAGTCAGATCCCGGCAGCAGCTTCGCGGTTCAGTTCTTCTGTAGCTCTCCCTGTCTCCTGTCTGCTTCCGTTGTGGCTCTGGTGTGGCTGTCTCCAATGGTGTCGTCAACGTGTTCAGTGACATGAAAGTGCACAAGTCTTCAACGCCAGAAGTGAAGAAAGGCAAGAAGGCAGTGCTCTTCTGCCTGAGTGAGGACAAGAACATCATCCTGGAGGAGGGCAAGGAGATCCTGGTAGGAGATGTGGGGCAGACTGTGGACGACCCCCACACCACTTTTGTCAAGATGCTGCCAGACAAGGACTGCCGCTATGCTCTCTATGATGCAACCTACCAGACCAAGGAGAGCAAGAAGGAGGACCTGGTGTTTGTCTTCTGGGCCTCTGAGAGTGCACTCCTTAAGAACAAAATGATCTATGCCAGCTCCAAGGATGCCTTCAAGAAGCTGATGGGAATCAAGTACGAATCACAAGCAAGACTGCTACAAGGCGGTCAAGGACGCTGCACCCTGGCAGAAAAACTAGGTGGCAGCGCTGTGATCTCTCTGGAGGGCAAACCTTTGGGAGCCGCCTCCAGCCCCCTGCCTGGAGAGTCTAGCAGCCCCAGACCTGCTCATGGGTGTTGCAGGCTGCCCTTTTCCTGCCAGACTGGAGGGGCTGGGGGGATCCCAGCAGGGGGAGGGTAATCCCTTCACCCCAGTTGCCAAATGTCCCCTACCCCCACCCCCGGGACCATCCTGCTCCTGCCACCCTGATGGTTCTAGGCTTTCCAAACTGCTTTTATCTTCTGATTCCTCTTGGGTTGAAGCAGACCAAGTCCCTTCCCAGGCACCCAGTCTGGGGGGAGCCTGCTTTTTTTAAGGACGCCCCTACTCCTCATGCCCCGCCCCCATCCAATGCTGTCAACGTCTAAACACAATATTGACTCTGTGCTTGTCTGTTTAGTTCTGTGTGTAATGAGATGTGGAAAGGACCCTCCTTGCACCAGTTGGTTGCCCTCCACTTCCCCTTGTTCTTGGCCGCTCATGGAAGCAGGACCAGTAAGGGAGCTTCAATTGAAAAAATAAATTTAAAAAAGGCCAATTAACAACAACAACAAAAGACTGTTGATGGTGTTAATGGTACTCACTCTTTGTTGGAGGTTGTGATAGAATTGTTCTAGAATTGGTGGATGGTAATGGTTACACAGCTCTGTAAATTTACTAGAAGTTGCTGAATTGCACATACTCAAAAGGTGTTTGACTTGGCAGTTGTGAACAGGGTGAACTGGGGTGGGGCAACTCTTCAGTGCAGTTTCCTCTCTGTCCACTAGAGGGCCAAGAACACCAGCGCTTGGCTCCACTGTTCTCCAGGATATGGAACGAGTCTTCCTTGGAGAATGAAGTTAGGTAAGGTAGTGAATGCCTATCACCCCAGCACTCAAGAGGCAGAAACAGGAGGATTAAAAGTTCAGGCCACACAGTAAGCCACTATCTTTTTTTTTCCCCCCAAATGCCGTTTATTGAAGAACAGAGGAGGTCATAAACACAGGCTTACAGCACAGTGGGAGAACCCCAGAGGGCTGAAGTTCGCTACCAATGTTTTACAATCTTGCATCTAAACTGTTAACGCCAATTATGCAGGATACACAGACAAAGAACTTCCCTTAAGCATTCAGGAAGGTGGAACCCTGGCAGAGAATTAGCATAGGGAGGATATCAAGGTCAAGGTTAGCAAGCAAGGCAACAGTTACCCAAAACAGGGGCCAGGACCCTACAGGTCCCCCTTTTACTAGAAAATGAGCTTCTGACTTAGTTTGCATGGGACGTCAGTAGGTCACCTTACCCGTCATGGAGATGCCTGCCCAGGCCACACAGGCGCTCTGTCTTAGGTTGGTGAGCGCCCCCCAGGTATTACCCGTCTCTGAATACTCACTATCATACAGGCTCAATTGTGTGTGAGCTGCAGAGTTAACTGCTGCCAAAGATCTCAAAGTGGCACTGGGCTTGCAATCTGTGTGTTCGACATAGAAAAGAACAACAGAAGTCCTAACCCACCCATAGCCAGTAGGCTAAAGGCAACTGAGCCATTCCCTTCCTTAACGAACCTTATTGCAAATTGGAGTCCTTGTAAGATGGTATCCCAAAAGCAAATGGATCTTGAGTTTATAAAATTTATACTTTTCAAAAGTAAGCCACTATCTTAAGAACAAAGGAACCAAGGAGAGGAGAAAGGGACCAAGGGAACGGAGAGAAGGAGGGGAAAATAAGAGGGAGAGGAAAACAAAAGGGAGGAGATTACAGGTCTGGGCAGCTGGGAGGGTCTGGTCCCTGGATGAGATGAGACCCACACAAGCCCTCTGCTGGGCGCATGCTGCAGGGACACAGAACTCAGCAGAATTTGCTCCTGGGAAAGCCAGACCTACTTGAGCGGAAACAGTAATTGCTGTTAGATAATAAGCCCAAGTGTAAGATACCAAGGATCACACTATCACGGGGGATGAACAATGAAGGACTGTTCAAGACAATCACTTCTGAGTGGCGTACAGGACCCCCTCCCCTGGGAGCCATCTCCTGATGCCCACCCTGTCAGTGTAGCTGTTCTTGGGGGCTTCCCTCCAAAGGTCAAAGTGGTGGGAAAGCTGTCACTCTGCAGTGTGACCTCCAGCAGTGAGCAGCGACAGATGTCTTTGATGTCACCCTTAATGGACGCTCTACTTCCCGACCTTCCTCCCCTCACAATCCACGACTTCCACAACTCCAACCTAATCTCAAGAAGAACAGGCAAGTCCTCCCTGAGACTGGAGGCACACGCTTGTGATCCCAGTGCTCTGGAGGTGGAGGTAGGGGGTCAGAAGTTCAAAGGCATCCTCAGCTACATAGCAAGTTTGAGGCTAGCCTGGAATAGATGTGACCCTGTCTCAAAAACAAACAAATAAATAAAACTTGGCATTGGCTTATCCAGATGGCTTAGTGGATAAAAAAGGGCTTGCTGTGCAAGGCAGGCAGCCAGAATCCAAACCCCAGTACCTACCTAAAGGTGAAAAGAGAGGACACACTCCACAAAGTTGTTCTCTGGTCTCCACACTGAGGATGGCAGGCACCCCCCCCCCCATATACACACACAGAGTAAATAAATGGATCGGGAGGGCAGGGGAGTGTTTTTAATTAAAGCAAAACTTGAAACTGACCTTGGAAGCCCAATGATTACAGGAGTATAGGATATGCAGCATGACACTATCTACATTTAATTCATTTATTTACTTTTTAAAAACAGGGTTTCCTCTGTGTAACAGCCCTAGCTGGCTGTCCTGGAACTCGATTTGTAGAGCAGGCTGCCCTCAAACTCATAGAGATCCTCTAGCCTCTGCTGGAGTTTAAAGGCATGTGCCACCAAGCCCAGTCTTAACTTTTTTTTTTTTTTTTTGAGGGAGTCTGTAACCAAGACTGGCCTGCAACTCACTCACTATGTAGCCCAGGCTTGCCTCAAACTTGAAGCTTCTGCCTCCCAAGTGTGGGGACTAGAGGCATAAGCCACCATGCCCAGCTGCTATCTACACTTCTGCAGGAATTTGACGTGGATGGAGTCAGAGGTGCAACATATTGCATCAGCATTGGGCATAAGGAGCAGATGAGCTACCATGAGGCCAGCCTTTGGGAGCCGTGGGTACCTGGAGCCCAGTGCTCCAAGTAATGTAATGCCATGTCTGGAGGAGCCAGCGCACAGTCTCTAGATCCCACCAGGTGGCCACAGGTATTTGCCATCCACCTGTGGCTGTGTGCAGCCTGGCAGTGTGTCCTACCCCTCCCTGCGGCCTGTTCCTGCCTGCAGCTGGCCCGCCTTCTGGGTTTGTCGGGGGAGCCATCACGACAGCCCCACCGTGCACATTCTGGCTGGGCCAGGCGCTCTCACACGGCTCCGACATGGTGTGAATACACTCTTGTGTCTTTTTACCATCTGCTGCTGTCATTAAAAAATTACATTTCCATCTGTTTTCACACTCCCCCTCCCCACCTCCCTTCCTGCAGGAAAAGGCATGAATCCCAAGCGTTGAGACCAGACCAGTCCTTGTCTCCTGGAGCCTGAAAACCGTCCCTGGACACACGCAGGGGTTGGGCTGGTGGCCTGCACGCAGCAGAACCTGTCTGTCTGTTTCCTCTTCAGTAGCCATTGGCAATGATCTCAGCTCACAGGAGCTGTTCACAATGCTTTAAATTTTCTATTTTAAGCTGGGTGTGATGGTGTACACTTTTAATCTCAGTGCTCAGATGCAGAGGCAGGTGGATCTCTGTGAATTTGAGTCTAGCCTGGTCTACATAGTAAGTTCCAGGACAGTCAGTGCTACACAGAGAGACCCTGTCTTAAAAAAAAAAAAAAAAAAAAAGAAAAGAAAAGAAAGAAAGAAGAAAAGAAAAATGTTTTAGGTATATATGGGTGTGTGTGTGTGTGTGTGTGTGTGTGTGTGTGTGTGTGTGTGTATG